AGATGTATGTAACGGGAAATATAAGTGGATCATATGCTTAATGCATTGTGTTATCTGCAATCGAAACTAGTTTTTTCGTTTTGTGAAAGGAGTAGCACTTACTCGAGATAGTAGAGGAGAACGTAAGAGGATATTTTCGGGCTGAGTTGTCACGGTTCGACAGTTGTCGGAGCGCGAAGCAACGTGTATCGCGTCACGTTCACCCAGAGAGAAATAAGAACAAGATGCGATCGTGTTAATAAAGGGAATTGTCGTTAATCGTCGTTAAAATATCAGTCGTTAAATTCGACTAAATCACAAGTAATATTCTACAGATTAACTTGCGACGCTTTGTATATAATTATTACAAATTGTACAAATACTTTTACAATCTTCGAATGCAACGTGCATACACGTGTCAGACGATAATTATTCAGAGTTACTTAAAATTCAAAATGCAAATAATACATAAAGAGTTCTCCGTTACTCAATCGCGTTTGAAAAGTATTTTCCGGTTGCGTGGCTAGCGAGCGGCACGTTCAACGTGTTGTGAAGTATAAATTACAAGTATCGAAGGATGATTACACGATTCGTTTATCGCTACTGGCGCAGTGATGATTTACGAGCAATGGTGTCAGCGTAATTATCGTTTCTCGATAAGAAAATACAAAAGAGCGGTGATTCGCCGATAAAATCGTGCTTCCAGCGATATAATTAATTTCTCGACGCGATAACACATAAAGCCCTCCCATAATTGGACAAATTTCAAGACCGTATTTAACTCATGAGACACGTGCTTTGCTGACAAAAATCAACATCTGTTATCAGCCTGTTGAATATAGCGATAATGTAATTTCGGAATTCACGACGATCTATAATTAACGAAAAATGCTATGCCTTGGATCTATTGTATCTTGGGCCTATGTCGATTTTAACGCCATCTAACGATTTTTTCACTTTGTTAGTAATAATTCATTGTATTTAGAATTTTTTCTATGGAGATCATATAGCTATAGAGATCATATGTTTTGTATGTACCTTTTATCTTAATATCAGCTGAATCAAAATGACTAACATAAAAAAATAGAAATAACAAAAAAAGTGCAGCACCTTTTTCTATAATAAAAAATTGATAAAAGCGATTATAATAATTTTATTCGATATATAAGCGAAAAAATTAAGTGTCACATTTACACAATTTTTGTAGACAAAAGAGAGAAAACCAAAGAAACATATGGAATAAAATTAAGACAGTCGCCTTCATTACTCATGTTAATTACGAATTATTTAATGTGTCACATTTAAATCGAAGAATTGTATATGTAAAAAGTTTTACGAAAGATTAAATCTTGAGTTGGTTTGAATTGTAAATAGTCGCAGAGAGAGAGAGAGAGAGAGAGAGAGAGAGAGAGAGAGAAAGAGAGAGAGAGAGAGAGAGAAATTTTAAAGTGAGATCACGATCAAATTTTCTAATTATATCCAAAATTGATTCAAATTTTTAATAAAAAAAAATAGTTTATCCACGTCAGACAATTCGAAGGAAATTAATAAAACACCATCGCAAAGACTGACGTACTTCAATTACGTTACGCCAACGCCTATTTTTGTGTAAAAGCGGTAACCACTTATGAAATCATGAAGGGAGTGACACGATCTGACTGTGTGACTTTCTGCATGCCATTCGCGTACTAAATCCGTTCCGGTTATGTCTATAATAAACCTGATTCAGCATAGGCGTAGATTCGTCCATGACAAAGCCGCTAAAACACATGTAATAGTCACACGTCTTAGTTCTAATTTTGAATGTAACGCACAAATGAACGAAACATTTTAATCGTCTCGTTCCACATGCTGCCTTCAATTATATTTTCTTGTCGTATCTGGCGTTAAAAATTAAAAAAAGGAAAAGAAACGCGAAGGCTACGGCGTTTAATCAGATTCTTTCCAAGTATTCCAAAGTAAGCATATTCCAAGTTTGCTAAAGAGTGTAGTTGTGATATCCTATGCAATCATTAGCATCCCACAACTTGACGTATGAGCTGTAGGATAAATTCAACGTTTGCAAAATTACAGCCTGTGGTGCACCGGAATTGCTCGCCGTTACGAAATTTTCACTAATAGTTTGCATAACCAGTCTAGATTATCAGCCGCGCTTTCTCGCAACTTATTCCGAAAAATAATCCTTTGAAAGCGTCGTTAACACCGTTACACGGCGACATCAAGCTAATTAAACCCGTTTTGCGCCTAATTAGAGAAATGCTCTTTCTTCTAATAATTTAGCGCGTATGTTCTAAAACTAGATTTCAAATGTTCTGCTGGATCGACTCAATTATATAATTTAAAAGTTGCTCTTTATTATCTCCTATATACTTGCGACATATTTTAATAACTAGATATCTTAATTTTTCAAATATTCTTTAAAGACCGGTATTCGATCAATAATAATACGGCATTACTTGCAACGGTACCTGTTACATGTATCGTTTAATTCGGTTTCTTTCTTTTCTCGTAGCACCATATAATTACATGGTAGATAGTATATGTATTTTCCACGTAAAATATTAGAACATTTCAACGTCAGCACTCTTGTTAACGAGTTTTCGTTATCGTGTCCGCGAGATTTTGATTACTTACAGGCGAGATCTTTACAAATCGAGAAATCGAAAGGACGAAGGAGTTGGAACTACGAATTAACAATTTGTGGTTGTATAATTTAAGTATAAATAGAAAATCAGAAATATATATACAAGTATATATACGGACGTATATATCTCAGACTGTCCTCCACAATTTTTGTAGAACGAATTGAAGTGAACATAAAAGTCCTATGCGAATATAAAATTCTATTTTACGATATTCGCAATAATAATCGAGATATTAATTAAAGAAAATTGGTGAATCACGCGCGATATAGTGATGAGCTGTAGTGGCGATGTGTGCTGTTTCTTTAATTAATATCTCGAGGTTTATTGCGGATATCGCAAAACGGTATGGGACTTTTTTGTTCACCTCAATCTGTTCTATGTTCTCATAAAAATTGCGGAGGAAAGTCTGGAACACCTTGTACATATAAATAAGAGCCTCTCAGGTGTGCAAACAAGTAAGAAGAAGGCGGCACATAAAAATCGGGCGCGCTTGTCGATGCGAATATTCAAACTTTTTCAAAATCCAAATGTCAGAAGTTTTACTTGTGCATTCTCATAAGTTGAACGAATGAATCGTCTGGTCGAAACTACTGTGTCTTTATTCACAGTGACGTTAATCGTCACGCGATTATGATCGATAAGCGTTATTTACAGCAATGCATATAAATTTTGCTCCAATGCCGTTCATTATTATAAGACAGATATATTATTATATGAAGCAAGATGAAATAGAGATCGCTGATCTCTCTTACGGATATAGTCGTCAAGCAGTCTTCCTGGTGGCGATGTTACTCTTGTTACGCGTTACGTAACATACGAGCGATCTAAAGCCGGTCAGTCATGTCGGTTCACCAACAAACGTTCCGACAGCCCGGGGCAAGGCCGTAGACCTGTCTCGCCACGGGCTACAATCTCGTGAATGAACTATTACACGGTGTTCGCGAATTTCATTCGCCCGGCAGACACTATCTTCGCGCTCACACACATATTCCTTACCTACAAAAACTAATCGATCTCTTCCGTTAATTTATGCGACCCGGCAATTTGTAACTAACGGTCGGAAGAATACGTCAGCGTTATAACGCAGGTGTGATAAACTGACGTCACGAATCGTCATTTAATCTCAGACAATTCTTCGTCACGGAGCGATTCACAAAATTCGCGCGAGGGCCAATTTTTCTCCGGAATAACCGCGATTTTTATTTCCATCCGTCTCACAGTGTTACTAATTGACGAAGGAATTATCTGGTCGTTAATCTTTAAATTATTTCACAAAATTCTGAGAAATCTAGGACAAAAATGCGTATTACAAAATATGTGTTATTATTATTGCAACAATAATAATATCATGACTGTTTGTTTTGTGGCTTTGTCCAATTAACGCGAATCCGTGTTTGGTTTCCCTCTGATGTTAATTGCAATTAGATAGATGCTTAGAGCAAGTCGATAGTTGAGTGATGGTGGAAAAGCGCGTCTTACTAGGTGGATGCTAGAAGTGCAGGATTCCGGAAACAAGAACATAGAAAGTCGAATCGGAACAGTGGTAATTTGTATTTTCGCTCGCTCGCATCGACAAGACGCGAACGAAAATTCGTTTACTTTTGAAATGTCGATGCGAGTATTTGATATAAACCCGTCGTTGGAAAGATGGATCTGAGAAACTTCACGCATTCCATTTTATTCTCTTTAAATCTTTTGTAATATGTTTGGAATTTTTTTCTGTTAGTTGTTATTAAATCTCAATATGTATATTCCTCAGAATCATGAAAGATATATTATAAGGTTTGAGAAATTATAAAAATATAATAAAAAAAGGGAGAAAAATTGATCAAATTCCACCTTTCCAATGACGGGTTAAATTCATGATGACTGAGAATGCGATAAGTGCGCCTCGAGCGGAGAATCCAAAGCATTTGTCATATTATGAAGATGAAATGTCACACCAGGGAAATGCGATCCACAAAACGTCGAACTCGAACGCGGAAAGTATTATATAAATGGAGTCACACACATTAATACCAATGACCAATTCGACGAACAACGAAACGACGGATGAATCAATGAATGCGCTCTCTATCACGTCCTATATTCCGGTAGAGACATACTTATAAATATTTCGCACAAGTGATGAAAGTACGTGCAAAAACACCTGCAGACAGAAACTTCCTTGCGTGCGAAGCCTCACCAAGACACAGTCTCACTAGTCTAGAAACGAAACACTCTCGGCCACTTCCGAGTCCGCGCGCGCTCATCGCGTGTTTCCCGGAAATGGTGAGGAAGGACCTCGGCGGTCCTTTCCACAAATGCAAATTTTACGTCCGCATGGCAATGCCGCGAGATTACGAGGTGTCGCGAACGTACGCGCGTCGTACTTACGATTCTCATTTCTCCTTCTTTCTGGGTCTCCCCGAAAGTGCGCCGCGAGTCGGAACGAGCGTTCTCTCTCCCGCGTTCCCCGTGCACAAGTCGGCCGCCAACTGCAGTTGCACTCTCGTTAAAGCGCCGAGTCTAGGAGCTACCACCTGTCTCGCGAGGGTTACGTTCTCGGCGGCGGTGGAGTCCGCGGCTGGTAGGGGGCTCCGGAAGAAACGCCTACCGTCTCGAGTGGTTCGGTCAGGTGTCCACTGGATGACGATGATGATGATGATGATCCCAGATGTTGAGGCTCGCGACTGTACTGCCCGTCGTGCCGTACAGAACCGTTTGATTCTGGGTGGGGGCCGATCCTGGAGCTTATATGTCGCCGTTGGAGGCCATCCGCGATTGCCCGTTCCCCCTGCCCCTGCCGGTGCCCTCGCCCGAATCGTTATCCTCTCGAGGGGCGAGTGATGGTCAAGGTGACCTCCGCCTCGCGCGGGGTACCGCGGACAGGAAACAGCGAGAACCGTCGCGAGAAAGGCGCGCGCGGCCGTCTCGCGGACGATCGATTCGACGTTTCACTTTTCAGTGGCGTGAGTCACGTTGGAGGAAGTAGGAAGGAAGGATACACCGTAGCACATGGCGTGTCGAAAGTATAATACTGTCGTCCAGATAAATTCCGGAGTTTAACGTCATCTTGAGGGAGTGACAAATAGCGAAATATGAATCAAAAGGGGGATTAGAGTAATCCCGGTATAAAGATTTTGATTATACACGGAAGAATTATCCGCTGATCTCTCCTAAGAAGGAGGAAGTGAGAACGCAAATTGTGATTAATCTCGGCTGAGTCATAATTCTTTTTCCGCGTCGAAGAATCCCTTTCCTCCCTCTTCTCTCTTTCTCGCGTTCCCGTCGCTCGATCACAGAGACTGCCAATTATCCGGCGTAATCTTGCCTGGCAAAATAATGCATGCGACTGCTTAATGCACGTATCAGGCGTTACGCGTCTCAGTGCCTATCGCATCATGCTCTTGATCGGAATCCGGATCTCTGTACGTGAGTACAGCATTATGACGTCAACCGTTGTTAAATAGGAATAATGTCTAGACCGTGGATCTTATCTCGTACCATTAGGGTAAAATTATAGTCAACGCCCCACTTTTTATCAACTGTCAGACGCAAGGCGCGTCGAAATTTACAAATGTTGCTCTTGTAAGATACGTACATTTCAATGAGGTATAATCTCAGTGAAGAATTCCATCAATCTCAGTCACTGAGTCGCATTTCATTACACCGACGAGATCGTGAGTGTCCTTTCCTCAAGCAAAAATTATATGAAGGTAACAAAACTTTGATTGACTGAATTCTTGATTAAACTTGAAATAACAAGAAGAAGGCAACGGGTACGCGTATAAGTTCCTGTTGTCGCTTTTGTAGTGCTTGGTGGGTTAGTCGATAATCGTTATTGTAATACCGTACTTTATCCCCGCACAATCGACCGCTCACGAAGACACGGTAATATACTATTCTCAGGATACCTCGTAATTTCCGCCGAGGGAAAAATTCCCGTCGCACGTGTATGTATGTCATTCGTGCATAGTACAATAATTATGATAATAGGGTAATCGACTATACATCCGCGAATACATCATTATAAAGAAAAACTTCTTACCCCTTATATAATATATCTCGATTGCACCTCACCTTGAAGAAGGATTGGTGACACACTCCTGATAATAACGTTAACGTTAACGGTATTGTACAAATGACACATCATCTTAGAAGATGCGTTACACGGATAAACAAGTTTGGTTGGACTAACCGAATGTTTGGTAAAATAGGAATTAGCCAGAGATCTGCCTGAGACGACCACAGAATTCTATTCTAGTTAACTTGAACAGTTGCGAACTCTAATCTTGTTAACTAGAACAAAATTCTGGTAACGTCCACCGGAATTTCTAGTTCGTCCATCTTTCGCCAGACATTTGGTTGGTTCGTATTTCATAAAAATTGAAGAAGAGAAGATCAACCTATGTCGTTAATAATTTCCTCGCGTTACTGATTTAGATGAAAAAAATCGTTGATGCAAATAGCAGATAAACAGATGGAAGGTTTCTATTCTCAAAATTCTGATAATGTCCACCGGAATTTCTAGTTCGTCCATCTTTCGCCAGACATTTGGTTGATTCGTATTTCATAAAAATTGAAGAAGAGAAGATCAACCTATGTCGTTAATAATTTCCTCGCGTTACTGATTTAGATGAAAAAAATCGTTGATGCAAATAGCAGATAAACAGATGGAAGGTTTCTATTCTCTCGAGAAATTCGGAAAGAGAGCGTGAACCATGCGAGAGCGAGCGAGCGAGCCAGCGAGAGCGCGAACACACCGTAATAATTACAGTGTTGAACGTAACGACGTGTATGTACTGTGTGCTGGGTACGTTTTACGATTAACTTCGGCCAGCTATCAACGTCAGAGTCAGCTCGCGATTTAATTATCGCCGTTACAAACGCCAGCTGTACCTCGCCTATTTATCATAGTTGCAGCACGTATGGCAAACAGTCCCCGACGAATTTTCCATTCTTACGATCCCGCTCGCGCTCGAGAAAGTGCAGGCTGCAACGGGCGCGTAATCAACAACGCGACTCCCGTCGCGTATCCGGCCGCGATTTTCTTGACCTTCGTTAAAAATGGAATCCCCAACCTTAACCCGCTAATTAGCGTGCTTTCAGCAGCATCATATCGTGCAAGGAGACGCGCGGAGACGCTTTTCAATATCGAGCTCGCGTCCGTTTGGCGTGCGGGGGACGGCTGGACCTTGCGCGATTGACTGTGACCTCAGTCGCCTAAACTCGGCTTAATTAACGAGGTCGTCCGCCCGACGGATATTTTGCTTTCGAGCGTGTCGGTATGCGCTCCTCGTCGCGTCACCTTCTGCTCCTCCTCCTCTCTGCGTCTCTCTCTCTCTCGCCTTCTGTAAACGCGACAAGTATTTGAGGTATTCCGAGGGAAAATTTACAGCGATCCGTCGCGTCGATTAATTCACTCGCGAATTGAGATTTATCTGTCCGCGTGCTTGGCACCGCTGCTCGCTTCTGGTGTGATATCTCGCGATAAAGCGAGACGCACAGAAGACGTGAGCGAAACGCACACTGCCGTATTGATAATACGTTAACAGACGCAGCGAACATTATCCGAGACGAGAGATCCGCACGCGAAGGATCGCTTTATAACGTTAATAATTAAGAAGCGCTGGAAGTAGAGGCAATTAAATTATTTCGAAACACAGACACGATAATCTAATTGGAAGCAGCAATTATTCATCGCGCCGTTATATTTGGAGCCAGCCTTCGGACTGCATTTTCGATTTCGAATTGCTTTCTGACGGTCGACCAAGCGAATAAAGTCAGACTGAAGGGAAAATCTCGTTCGGCCGATCGAGGACGTGCCAATTACCGTGAACGAGCATTGTCGTAAAATTGTATAATCAATTACGGGAACGTCGGTAATGACACTTATGAAAGTATAACGAGGCCATTAGTCATCGGGCAGAACGCAGTTGGAAGAGGCGATGCGTTAAGAGAAAAAGATCGAGAAAGAGAGAGAGAGAGAGAGAGAGAGAGAGAGAGAGAGAGAAATAAGCGAAACGCGATGTTTATGCAGGATAATGTTTTTCGAGGATGCCACGCGGCATTGAACGGCTTATGAATTTGTTTAACATCTAATCGAACGAGCGCTGGCAAACAAATAATGTCCAATCAGTATGCATGACTTTGGAATCTGAAATAGTTTCTAGGGTAATGAGCAGTAATTTTTTGCCACTGATCCTTGTTAGTCTCGAGTGCGTGAATAGATAGCCTGACGCATCAAATGCGTGAGCAAATGCAAAGATCCAGATATCATCCACGCGATCTTGTAGGTTCTGTAGATTACGCGCTTGACGATCACTTTCGTATGACGCAACACGTACAAGCAGAAACATCAACGGCGAATTAACATTATCGCGGGGAAGGGGTATAATTATCTGTAATTATCTCTCGTATCGTTGGCAATATTTTGCGTGCATCATCGGGTCTTGAAATCTTCGGCACGAGTGATTCTGGTCGTCAAGAGGTACTTTGAGTTTCTGTTAAATTGTTATTTATCCGCTCTGTGAGTTAATCAAGAAATGAAATCTCGTTACTCATTATTACATATCGTGTTAATATCGTGTTAAAACTTAAGTTTTAAAAAATGTACTGAAATATGAGTATTGCTTTTTCTGCTCTAATAGAGCATTAGAGCTCTAACAGAGATCCTCGTTACGATTGTTATATAAACAATAATGAAATCTCTGTTGGTCACTTAATTCAGGGATAATGATTACTGTATTATTTATTAAAGTATCCTTGTAGTCAAGATCTACATCTTTTTTTGCCGATCATCATGGACAACACACACATGCTTGATACTTTTTCCAAGCTCTTTAGACTAATTTATTCATACTCTCGCTACATGCATAATGAATGCACAACCGCGTACATTGTTGCTGCGCAATTAACGTGGAAATTGGCGATCCACGAGTAGCCGAAGTAACTCGAAACCGAGGTAACAGATAAGCGATGTCGCGCTCGAAAGCTGTCCTTAAGGATACGGACGGTCCGAGAGGGTCCGAGTCTCGGAGATCGAGTCTAACGAGCCTGTTCATCGAAACGAAGGTAACGGCGCGACCTCATAAAAGGTGCATTCGTACCGTTAATTACGCGCCGAAGGCGCGCTGCGCCGCCTTTCGAGTAACAAACTGGCAATTCACTGGTCGCGTCACGCACACTGAACGTCCATGAGCCAATTTCGTTTTTAACGGAAACCCGAAGAGTGCCCGCTTCCGGTGGCGTGCAAAGCGGAGACGCCGTCGAATTTGCGGCTGTAGCCCCCAATTTCTGAAAGTAAAGCGATACTCTTGAGAATGGCGGCGGACACCCTTGGTGCGAGTGGAATGTAAGGTCGTTTATGAAAGTTTGCTCACCGGCCGATATTTCATATACACAGAGAATTAAAGCGCCGAACAAACTTCAACAAGATCAGCTCAAAATCGAAAGTTAACGAGAGGTATCGGCTTAGCTAAGCTGCTGCTAGTTCACAGCGACAATAATCGCTTCTATCGCGATATTTGCTCAGGTAATACTCCACAGGCAGTGATGTAACGTAACATGGAAACGATCTTTATGGGCGATAAAAATATATCTAATTACTGCTGAAAGTACGATCAAGAAATCGTTTCTCCGAATATTCATATCACTTAGATCACAGATACCATAGATCTAGATATACCACAACTGATATGATCTGAAATACATAAAGTTATATTATCTGTATTACTT